AGAACATGGAGACAAGGGAAACAGACCTAAAAGTCAACACACAATGTATTTCCTTCTGCTATCTTTCACACATACCAAACAAGACTCAGGACTAAACCTCACACAGTGCACACCCTGTAGCCTCGCTTCCTCTTTTGTAACCTGTCACACACAGTTGAAACTTTCATCCATAAGCTGGGGTCCCAGCAGGAGTCAGCCAAGGACTGCCTATCCATCAAATCCAGCCCACGGAGTACAACCACTGCTGTTCCTTTATGTTTTTTTGTGTGTGGCCACTTTGTGCTACGGTGGCAAAGTTGAGCAGGCACATCAGATCAGACACTGCGGTCTGCAGAGCAGAGAATTTTGCCATCTGGCCCTTGGCTGAAAACATCAGCCTGCCCCTGTTCTAGAACAATGGCTTTAGTCCTCACCACTCCCCACCAGTGTTCCTAAGATAAATTGTTACACTCAGGCCTTTTTCTTCTTTTATTTAATGGATTCATCACTGATCTATATTTTGGCCTCTAAGAATCATCCTTAATTATTATGAAAATGACCCTCAAATTATATTTTAATATCTAAGGATAACGAGAGCTAAAGAATGTACAGTCTCTCTCTACTCATAAGGGAATGAATGGTTAAAAATATTGAACTAGAAATGTTTGCTGAAGATAGGGAGGGGAAAGGGCATGTTCAACACCAGCACCCGTGGGGATGCCGTCAGTCAAATGCAGGTGGTGGAAAACTTGACACAATAAGTTATCGAGTTACTTCAGGAACAAATGGACGTGGGAGAGAGGTGGGACATGGGAGCTCTGGAGATTAAAAGAAACTTCAAGGACCTTTTGGTTCCAGGACCTTCTTATGGGGGGGGGTGGAGTTTAGTCAGTGGAAGACAATGGGAGAATTTGAAAATAAATGGGGGCTTGGGTGCTATTTTATTATTTTTACTTTCTTAGTCACAATGATTTATTGTGATTTTATTTTAAAGCATCCTCACCTAGCCAGATGCAGCAGTATATCCCTGTAGTCTCAGCTACTGTGGAGTGGTTGAGAAGAGGAGAGTAAGAGAGCAACCCCTGGACAAGGCAGAGGGTCCCCTGCCCCAAATATAAATAATAAATAGTACTGGAGATTGAACCTACAACCCCAGCCATTTTTATTTTTTTTCTTTTGAGACACGGTCTCAGTGGCTTAGGGCCTTGCCAAATTGCTGAGGGTGGCCTCCTGCCTCAGCCTCTCAAGTTTTTGGGGATTACAGGCCTGTGCCACCTTACCCAGCCTTTTCTTCTCTTTTAAGTTCATAAGGGAAGAAAAAAGTAGTGAGTATAAAAGAAATATGAGCAAAAAGGTTAATTGGTCAGAGGGAATGGTGCTGGGAACAGAACCAGGATCTTACCCATGCTAAGCAGGTACTCTGCCACAACAATGCTGCTGCCCCAAGGTTGATAATTTATTGAGCTTGGCTTGAGGAGCACCTCAAGTTCATCATGCTTTTCTCTCAAACTTTGCAATTTCTCATTAAAAAAAGTTTTTTTTAAATAATGTGTTTAACACAGAATTAGAAAAACAATTCTTAAATTCATTTGGAAGAATAAGCGACCCAGAATAGCCAAAGCAATACTAAAAGCAAAACCAAAGTGGAGGCATCACAATACCTGATCTGAAATTATACTACAGAGCTATAATAATAAAACCAGCATGTTATTGGCATCAAAATAGACATAAAGACCAATGGAACAGAACAGAAGACACAAGACAAATCCAGGTACCTACTGCCATCTGATATTTGATAAAGGTACCAAAAATATACCTTAGAGAAAAGATAGCCTTTTTAAAAAATGGTGCTGGGAAAACTGATAGGATCTAGTTTTGTGTTTCTATATATAGCTATCACCTGGCATAAAACTCAAATTAAAATGGATCAAAGACTTACTTAATCAGATCAGGAAGTTTACACTTGCTATAAGAAAACAAAGGGTCATCACTCCCTGATCTGAACTGCTGGCACTGACTTTCTTAACAAGATCTCCAAAGCACAATAAATAAAACCAGGAATCAATAAGTTGGATGCAATCAAAATAAAAAAGCTTCTGCACAGCAAAGAAAATGATTAAGAGCATGAAGAGAGACCCTACAGAACAGGAGAAAATCTTAGCCAGATGTTCCTCCAATAGAAGATTTGAATCCAGAATATACAAAGAACTCAAGTTTAACACCAAAAAATAATAATAACCTAATCAATAAATGGTCAAAAGAACTAAACAAAAACTCCTTAAAAAAAGAAATGCAAATGGCCAACCAGTATATGAAAAAATGTTTAGTATCTCTAGAAATCAGGGAGTTGCAAATCAAAACTACAATTAGATTTCATCTCACTTCAGTCAAAATGATGATGATCAAGAATACAAACAATACTAAACACTGGTAAGGTTGTGTAGGGAAAGGCACACTTGTATGTTGTTCATGAGCTTGCAGACTAGTACATCACTCTGGAAAGCAGTATGAAGACTCCTTAAAAAACCAGGGATGGTTCCACCATATGCCCCAGATATCCCACTCCTTGTTTTTTGTTTTTTTTTTTTTAACCAAAAGATCTAAAGTCAGCATGCTACAGCAATATAGCCACCTCAGTATTTATAGCAGCATAATTCATAATAGCTGAATTTTAAAATCAACCCAGGTGCCCATCAATAGATGAATAGATTAAGAAATTGTGTATAAATACAATGGAGTTCCAATCTTCCATAAAGAATGAAATTATGGCATTTGCCAGTAAATGAATGGAAATAGGGAATATCATGCTAAGTGAAATAAGCCAAACTCAGAAACTCAAAGGTTGAATGTTTTCTCTCAAGAAGGACAGGCAATGCAGAATGAATTCTTTAAAAAATCATGTGCATACATAAATATACCACAGGAAACTTCACCCTTATGCATAGGTAGAGCCAATCAAATATAAATAAATAGACTAGCAAAGGGAAGCCTAGGAAAAAGAGAGGAAGGAAAATAGGAGAGGGGAAGGAGGATGGGAGGGAAAAGCAGGGAATCAGGAGCTGAATTGAATTCCATGCATGTATGAGTTTGTTGGTACCAACCCAGCTACTATGCATAACTACAAAGCCCTAATTTAAATAAAAAAGAAACATACTTAAAAAAAATATTGTGTTTGAGTTTAAGCTTTTAAAAATTGAACCCTGCTTCTGATAGCTATTTCTGTATCTGTAAAACAGGGATTAAGAGGGGCAGCAGTGTTAGGGGCAGCAAGGGAGGGGAGGAGAGCATAGGAAGGATAGTGGAATGAAACAGACATTATTACTTTATGTACACATGAGTGCATGACTAATGTGATTCTAAAACATGTACAATCAGAAAAATGAGAAATTATACCCCATTTATGTATGCTATACCAAATGTATTCTGTCCTGTATAACTAAAACAAATAAGAAATTATAGTAGAAAAAACAGGGATTACAATTCAGGTTGTATAGGGCATGTTGAGGACTATGAGAATTAAATGAGATAGTAAAAGACCTTAGGTAGCTCAGTGGCAGAGTACTTGTCTAGCATTTGTGAGGCCCTGGGTGGATCTCCAGCACTTCCCAAATAAAGTCAAATCTAGTACAATACCTGACAAACAGGAAGTGACCAATACTTGGTAACTATTAATAACCCAATCAATAAGTGGAGCTTGTATGTGTATCAAGCTCTCTTTCCCTGTGAGCCTAATTTATTTATGATATTTCTGACCTTTGCAAACAACAGATTTTAAATGTGTGTTACTGCTACACAAAAATAAGGAACAAAAATAGGGAATTTTTTTCAGTACATACATACATTTCCTTGGTAGTTTGGAAATGGTCATAGTACCTGTAAGATACACTGAGGACAGAAATGTGATAGCCAACCATTGAAATCAAGGAGAACATTAAACTGGTCCCAGTGGCACATACCTATTATTCCTGGGACTACAGAGGCTGAGGCAGGAGGATTGCAAGTTCAAGGCCAACCTGGGCAACTCAGTGAGACTCCGTATCAAAATAAAAAGGACTGGCACTGGGGTCATAGTGCAGTGGTAGAGCACTTGCCTAGCATGTGTAAGGCACTGTGTTCAATTCTCAGCACCAAATATAAATAAATATTCGTCGACAACTAAAATACATATATATATATTTTTTAATAAATAAAAAGGGCTGAGGGTATAGCTGAATGGTAGGGAACCCTTTCATCACACACACACAAAAAAAAAAAATCAAGGAGAACCTAATTGAAATCTGTTGTAATAACTTGGCTCTTCCTTGAGGGTACTCTACAAAGAAAACATTTTAGCTCTCTGTGAGATTGCTAATAAAACCTTGCAAACACCCTCGGACACTATGTGCAAGGGATGTCAGGAAAGAACAGATATTCCAGTTTCAGGGGCTATTGTCCCTCTGTGACAACCTGAGGCTCCTACTGAGCCTGGGAAAGATTATGAGTCACATGACACTCCTTTAACTCAGTCTAGAACAACTTAGTCACTTGTCAGTCACCTGCTCGCTATCCAATATGCTTAGTATCACACAAACTTGTGGGAAAATACATTGACATAAAGGCATGGGATTTTGTAGCCTTTATGTTACCCGTTCACTTTTGGAAGCTCGTGAATGTTGTATTAAAAGAGGCATAAATACATGCTTTGTGGCTTTTTGTGCCCTAAAATTTAGTATATTTGGTGTAGAAGGTAGAAGCTGTATAAGTAACAGTTTGCACTTAGAGGAGAAAAAAAAGGGCAGACTTTTGGAGAAAAAAGTTATCATCTCATCCATCAATGAAATCAACACCAGTAATCGAAATAAATAAATATGGACCCCAACCACAGACTATCCCTTCTGAAAAAAATTGCTGTCAGAAACGTTGGGAAGTATAGTTTTATAATGTTTAAAAAGGAACAAGAATAATGTTGAGGGAAGTTTAGACAGCAGTATTTTATCTAAACTAAGGATATCAAAACTGTCTCTTTTTCTGTTCTTCCACAGAATGACATCACTCCCCTACATGTTGCATCAAAAAGAGGAAATGCAAATATGGTGAAACTGTTGCTTGATCGAGGAGCTAAAATCGATGCCAAAACCAGGGTAAGAGTGCTACTTATATGCATGCTCATACTTATTTCCAAGAGGTAGGAATATTTTTCCTACTGCATTTGTGTTGGTTAAACATTGGCTTTATTTTTAATTCCTTGTAGTCTCTTGGAAAATGCCAACCACATCTATTCTTCTTAAAATAGGGTGAATGTCCATCTTTATAAATCATTAATTATGTTTAACTAGTGTTTGTCTTTAATTACAGGAATAGGCTCTAAGGTCTAGAGTTTTCACTGAGTTAAATTTTCAAGAATTATATGACATGGCAAGCTGAACTATTTGATTAGTTTGAAGTTAATAGATGAATGAATTTTTAAATGCACTATTTATATATAATGGAATATTATTCAGCCTTAAAAATGGAAATCTTGTTACATGCTACAACGTGGATTAGTCTTGAGGACATTATGCTAAGTTATATAAATTGGTCATAAAAGGCAAAATACTGTATGATGTCACTTAATTGAGATATCTAAACTGTCAAAATCATGGAAATGGTCCACGGATACACACAGTGTTAGAGTGTATGCTTAGCATGCATGAAGCTCTAGGTTCCATCCCCAGCACCAGAAGAAGAAAAAACTCATGGAAATAGAAAATAGAAGAGTGCTTTCCAGAGGCTGGGGAAAGGGGAAATAAGGAGTTGTTTAACGGGTATGGAATTCAGATTAAAAAGCAAGATTAAAAAAAAAATGTTCTAGTGACCTATCAGACAACAAAATAAGTATAATTAACACTACTGAAATAAATAGTTAAAAATGGCTAAGCGTGCTAGGCATGGTGGTGCACACTTGTAGTGCCAGAGATTTGGGGTGGTAAGGCAGGAGGATTACAAGTTTGAGGTCAGCTTCTGCAACTTAGTGAAAAAAAAAAAAAGTGGGGCCGGAATGTCCTGCAGTGGCAGAGCACCTATAGGTTTAGTACTCAGTCCCCCCCCCAAAAAAAAAAGTTGTGCTAAATTTAATATCAAGTATGTTTTAACACAATTAAATTTTTAAAATTTAAAAACCCATACATATGTATAACTTGATGTTTATGGTATATTGTGTAGGTTTTGTTGTGATTTGCTTGGTTTCAGGGTTTTTCTTGGGGTTGGGGGGGGGGATTGTTGTTGTTTGTTTTGAATTGCTGGGGATTGATCCCAAGGCCTCATGTATGTTATGTACGTGAAGTATGTTGTTTATTTTGTCTGAGGCACCAGGGTTATGGTAAAGAACTGAAAATCTGGTTTGAAATCAGATTATGAGCTTGGCCGGTTGAACTAGGTAGGCTACTTAAACTTTCCACTTTTAATTTCTCTATCTGAAGACGAATACAATTCATAGCCTTTTGAAAGATTGCTGCAGCAATCAAGGTCAAGTTTGTAAACTGTTCTATTATAAAGCAGGCCAGAAATAAATCCCAGTCATCACTCCTAGGTTGTCTCGGAGTTCCAATTAGTACTGAAACTCTAGCAAAGGGGTTTTCTTTTTCCACACTTCAAGTGGTTCTTACAAGATCTGAGCAAGAGCCAGTCTAATAAAAAGGTGGCCTCACCATAAGCACCCACTTATTTAAGGTTTTTGGATGGTTTCCCCGCCTTGTAATTGTAGCTGCTCTAATCCTGTGCTTCCCCCTTCCAAGAATCCTGATCTCCGTGTTTCTAAAACTAGCCTGGCAACCTCAATTTGATTCCTGTAGTGCTTGGATTTACTACTTCATTTATCATTCATTGCACTTATTCACCCAACCAATAAATGACTACAGTGTCTACTGTAGACCAGATGTAGCAGGTGAGAGAGGAAGACAACACTTTTCCTGTCTTCATGAAGCTAATGGGCTAGTGTCTCTTCTGTACTCTGTCCCTAGTCCAGCCAAGCCATAGGTAGAAAGCAGGAGATCCAAACTTCTTTTTCCTGATGACTATTGAACTGGAAAACCATGCATGCACCTTACAAGATACAAGCTCTCTGGGCTGGGGATGTGGTTCAGTGGTACAGTGTCTGCCTGTCATGCAAGAAGCCCTGGGTTCAATCCCTAGTACCATAAATAAACACACACACACACACAAAAAAAAAAAAAACCAGTGCTTCCTGCTTTGTGTAGGTACTGATGAGTAAATAGGAAGTGGAGGGGAGCTACAAGCTTTCTAGAGAGGAAGAGTGAAGAAAAGTAAGGGTTGACTCCTAAAGTATTACCTCAGTAGAAGGTAAATTGAATAGAGATCTCACTGAACTGCCTTTTACATATTTCAATAAGAAGGACTCATCAGTATATAAAGAATGCTAGAATCATTGCTATAAATGGCAGGAGTCTAAGCGAAGGCTATTTAAAGGGCTTGTAAGGATTAAAAGGTAGAGTTGCATTGCTTTTACCATTTGATTACTGCACGGAGGTGCATTTATAAATGGGAGGGGGGATCACTCTGAAGGGAAATGAGGGAAGAAAGAGACAAGCAGAAAAGAGAAACTTGGAAGAGATGCCTGTATATCCAGCTGGGATTTTAGCTGGTTTGTGGATTGGAAATTACCTTACTTTCCCCCTCTAGATGCAGTCATCAATCATCAGAATAGCAAAATTATTTGTCATTTTGCATCATTGATCAAACACGTACATGCTGTATTTAATAAACTGGGAGGGAAAAAGGTATGTACAAAGTGCATATAGGGGGCATACAGGACCTGGGGATAAGCATAAAAATTAGGGATAAAAATGTCAGCTATAGGAAATAATGTGTAGAGGCACAATTTTCTATGCCATTTGGTTTCTACGTGGTGCTGCCTCCCTGAAGTGCTATGCTATGTTCAACAATGACATATAGACCCCTTTTACCTCCCATCTAGTTTTGACTTGGGTTTACTTTTCCTCAGTGTTAAACAGTGACATGGGGGTGCGAAGGAAAGTCTTAGGGAACCAGGGAACAGAAAAGCCTGTCATTCTTTTGGTATTGTCCTGTGTGGGGTGGGCTGAGGGAAGGATGTCAGTTGTGTGCAGACTGAATTCCTGGCAGACTCAGTGGAAGAAAGCGTAGTGTCTGCCCAAAATATGTGAGCTATTCTGTGTTCTCCTCATCAGAGCTTCGATTCTCTCTTGCTGAAATGACAAAGTACTGATTGGGAGGGAGGGAGCTAAAAATGTCAGAAAGCCATGAGGACAGGCCCAAAACCAAGAAGTTGAATTTTCATCAATACAAGTTTTAATTACCCAATCTAGTAGTAGCTTTGGAGAAAGTAGTATTCTCCACTTATCCAGTGCCTACCAAGTACTTCCTATGGTTGTGGCTATCTTGTTGCATTCAAAAATCTGAACTGGTATACACCACTCCCCATGTTTAGACACAAATATCTCTTGACTTGACCTTGGAGTCTAGTGCTGGCATAGGCTGATCACCTAATAAAGGATTCAGTTTAAAAGACAGCTCTTACAGCATTTTTATTCCAGGAAGTAAACTTGAATTGTGATCAGGGTAATTTAGGTAGGACCTCAGCAAGATCTTACCAGCTGGAAAAGCAGAATGAGCATGAATTTTATATTACCCTAGTGCCTAATCTCTGCAGTCTTCATGTGTGTTGCCAGGGATTAAACCCAGGGCCTCACGCCACAGTGCCCTACCACTGAGCTACATCCCAGCCCCTAATCTCCTAAATCTTAAGTCTGACTGCAAGCGGTACAATTGTGGCCTAAGGAAAATTCCTTTCCTTCCCATGCAGAGAGGAAGTTGTTCCAATGATCTCACAAGCATCTCAGTGCTGGATATTGGAACTCAAAAGAATAATTAGGTCTAGGGCTGCAGCTCAGTTGCTCAGCACCTGCTTAGAATGCAAGAGGTCCTGGGTTAGATCCCCAACACTGCAAAAGTAATTGTTTCTCATGAAATTCAAGATGATTAAACATGAATCTTCCCTTAGAGCTTAGTTAGGATCTGATACATCAGTGATTTCATGTCTCTATTTAGCTCAATTCAAGAAAGCTTTTCTGATTTTCCAAGTCCCATAGTGCTGACTAGTATCAACTGGCATGTTAACACTCATAGCCAACTCGAGTATGTACAGTACATCTATAACAATGGTGAGAAGCATGCAGAGATAGAAATACATGTCAAGGCAGTCTTTAGTTGGTTCAATATGCAACATTCTAATTTTAAAATGATTATAACATTTGTTTGTTTGTTTTTTCAACAAGATCGTAATGGCTTTGTTTCTTAATAGACTACAATGCTTTCTAAGGATGCCCTGCTATTTCTCTTCAAACTCTTACTATCTTCAAAGTTAGCATGAGTGCTTGGTACATGTTGAAGGAAGATGCTTTGCAACAGATGGTCTCTTGTCATTTTCATTTCTTTTGCATCAATTCCCAGCCCAGGCAGAGACTCAATATGGTCCCTATACCAGAGCCATTTTAAGAACTTAAATTCTCTCTTTTCACCAACTTCTCCACATCTAATCATAAAGGCAGCTGTGCTTGTGTTTACTGCTTCTGAGAAGTTGCAGAGTTCGAGGTAGAGTCAGTAAGAACTATGCTCTGGTTCCCAGAACACTGCTCCAGATATGCCCCTCCTGACTTCCAACCTTCCTAGCAATATACTGCTGCCCTCCACCTCAATCATCCTGTTACTACCACAGTGCATGAAAAGCTGTGTTTTGATACTAAGATGTATATATTTATCATAGTATCCGTAGCACTTAGCATGCTTAAAGTACTTCCTGGCACATATTAGATGCTCAGCATTTGCTGAATATGTTGAAATAAGATACCGTCTTTAATGACAAATTTAACAAAGGGTCTTGATTTATTTGACTTTATACCGATACTGTGGTAATGTAATATTTTTCCCTGAAGTTAATGACAACCAGTTCACTTAGAAGAATAAATCTTTGTGCACAGGTAGATTAGGGGTCTCAGAACACCTCCAACCTGACAATTGTTAAATTCTTACTATTCTGGAAAAATGTCAGAGTAAACTTGAATATCCTATAATTTTAACTTATACTTTCCCTGAAATGCAACTCATT